AGAACCATGACAGTGTGTTAGCCCTCTGAAAGTCAATTTCTGACTATGTTACCATATGTGTGACTACTCTCCTGAATTTGGCCTCTCATTTTCTTTTCATAGTTGTGTTTTAATAGACATGTGTTCCTAAGTATATTTTCTGCTTTGCATGTTTTAAAAACTTATATGAGTAAAATTGTCTGGAATCTGTTTTTTCTGCGACTTGCTTTTATCCTCACACCACTGTGATTTTGTGACATCCATTCCAAACTGAGTAAGTGTACTTCATTTTTACTGCGGTGGGTGGCTGCTTTATTCACCTTTAATATGTTTCCCATTCTTCTGAAACTGGGACACTCTGGTTATTTCCTAAGAGTTCATTCTAATTGGGTGTCTGCCCCCTTCACCATAGTAACTGGCCGAAACTATTTTAGTGGTCATTTTTCCAACACAAGAGCTTTAGATTTCAGGTGGTGAGCAAGAGGAGGGCAGGTGCCCTGTTTTGTTGGGGTAATAAACACTTCTTGGAGCACTCACTCCATGCCTAGCAGCCAAGTCTAGACTCCTGATCCTATACCACCCTGGCAGGAGCCAAGATATTCTTGTTAAAGACTGTTAAACAATAGACCCCAAAGGATTAAAATGTCCACAGGAATCCCATAGTGGGGGAGGGAAAGGCTGAAGGAGGTGCCAGTCAGCGGAGGAACTTGCCTCCCAGGAAGAGATTTCACACAGTTCTGCCAACTTGTCAGACTACCTTGCTGGAGAGACGGAGCCAGGACAATGATGGGTGATTAATGGGTGGGAGCACCCCTTGACCAGGACTGCTTCATTCTGCACACCTTTAGCCCTCCAAGTGCAGCCTCACAGGCAGCGTGGAGCCAAGGAGAGCTATGAGAGCAGCACAACACAAAATTGTAAGCTTATTTAAAACGTTAATGAGTTGGCTGTGTGTGTGTGTGTTGTTTTATTTTATTTTGTTTTTTGGTAAATGTCAATGTTGTGTCTCAATTTCTAAAGGTTGGCTATATCTGACTCTTACCAATACCCAAAGATAGACGTGAGGGTCACTGGACCCCTTTATTTTGCCCTTCTTCCCAATGTCCCTGCTTTTCCCTAGTCTGTCTCTGTAACAGGCATACTGGGGACAGGTGGCTAAGAACCTGGCTTGGGGCTGCCGGAGCCCTGACTTTCACTCTAATACTCCAGCAACAGTTCCACTCTCTGAGCAGACCTGGCGGAATCGCAGCCCATCTAATCTAGGCCAATCAGATACTTTCTCTGAATATTTAAAACCCTACCAAAAGAGCTGTCTCCTTTTCTTTGATGTGCTTGTAATTTTCAGAGAGGAACCGTCAGTGGAGAAAACATCCCACCAGATTAGCACGCCTGTGGTGCAGTGCTTTGATTGATGACTGATATGGAAGGGTCCAGCTCACTGTGAGTGGTACCAAACCTGGGCTCGTGGTCTTAGGTGCTATAATAAAGCAGGCTGAGCAAGCCATGGAGAACAAGCCAGTAAGCAGCACTCCCCCATGGTCTCTGCATCAGTTCCAGCTTCAGGTTCATGCCTTGAGGTGCTGTCCTGACTTCCCTTCATGGTGGACTATAAGCTGTAAAGTGAAATGAACCGTTTTCCCCTAAGTTTTGATCATGGTGTTTACTGCAGCAATAGAAACCCTAACTAAGATAACCCTGCCAACATGGGGGTCTGGGACCCTTAGTCTGGTGTCCCCTCTGCCCTAGTCTAGAGGGAAAAAGCTGGTCAGGCAAGAGAGCTAGTGTATGAATGAAGTGGAAGGAGAGTCCAGGCCTTCCGACTGGTCCCACCTGCAAGCTGACTTTGGGGGGCTTGCTGGTTTCAGTCACGCTCGTAATCAAAGACCTGAACTCATCGACACTAGTTTCTTCTTCCCACCCATTCAGAAGAACTGCAGAAATGCCCAGGGATGCTGAGTAGCCTACGAATGAGTTCATTTTTTTTACCTGGCCAACCAGGGATAGGCTGATCCACCAGTTCTGAAGCCAGCTCCAGGCCTTAAACAGTGGACGGAGCTTCGCTAGTTAGAACTGCACTGGTTTAATGTCATCAAGACACGATGCAGCTCGATTAGTTTTATCTCCTGAGTTATTTTGGCCAGTTCTTAGAGATGACATAAGGCTTTTACTCTTCTTGAAAAACAAAGCACGTAGCTCCATTTTTCTCCGGTGACTGGGAGGACAGCATGAATGAATGACTCTCATAGGTGATCTGCAGATCTTGTCTGGGCTCTTATCTTGGCGAAAAGCTTCCTCTTAGCTGCAACAGGTAGTAGCAAAGGGCCTGTGACAAGTGGGTGGTTTTTGTTTTGTTTTGTTTTAATCTCCTTTTGTCCCCCCCCCCCCCACACACACCTCCTGGAAAAACGCAAATGAATAAGCTAAAAAAAAAAACAACAACAAAACATTAAAAAAAAAAGGGCAGGTGGCTGGAGGGTGAAGAGCACCAGCACACGGAATCAGGGTTAGACATTACAGTAAGCTGCCACTCTGAAGGCATTCACAGTGAGCTCAGAGCTTGCATCCGCAGCACACAGACGAAGCCATCACAAAAGGAAGCACGTCCATGCTTTTGTTTAAAATCATTTGTCAATCTGTGTTGCTCCCAAAGGCGTGGGATTTTTTTTTTCTAGCCTCTGCTGGAGCCAACAACAAATACTGTATTTTAGAGAGTAGCTATTCTGCTTTGAGGTGTAGTTTGAGGTGAGCTGTTTTCTGCCTTCTCTTTCCTTTTTTGCATTGAAAACCACAGTATGGTCACAAAGATGGTGTAGCACCACCTTAGAAACAGGCATGTGCTTGCTGGCTCAAACCTCAGCACTGCCTCAGACCACCCTTGTCACGATCCTTTCACATAGAATATTGCACATTCGTTCCTGGAAACCTGTAGGTAGTCACGTCTGAGACCTTGAACTCAGATAACACCAGAGTCACTTGGCAAGCAGAGAAGACTATGGCGTTTCATTATTCATGGGACACACTGCTGGTGTGTGTGCTTTGGTTCAAGCTTTTGATGAACAGAAAATGTGCTCTGAACTCATTTTTCTTCCCATGAAACCCTGACACAGCATTCTGGTTTCAAAGGAAGCTGTATAAAGAGACCAAGAGAACCCCCACAACACGGGACCACCTTAAAATCAAGTTTACTGCCTAAATGGGATTAAGCTAGAGTTGTGTCTTAAGAAGAATAAACCAGAAAAAACAAGTCTTTGCTGCATGGTGCCCACGTCTATCTAAACAGCTCTGAAGTCCAGATGCAGGCTGTCACTGAGCATCTCTGGAGAGAGCGTGGGAAGTTAAAAGTCAGTGTTTTTGATTAATTAATAATCATGCTCAGCTGTGTTGGCAAATGATAAAAACGAATCATCTGCCTTTAAAGTACGGGTGGAAGACGTGTGCTTACCCAGAGCAGAGTGGGGAGGAAGAGCAGCCTGCTGGCCTGGTCTGGCCTTGACTGGTCTGGTGGTGAACAAAGGCGACATTGTGTGTCTTTTAGCCCAAAAGGACTGTTCTGTGGCAACCAAGGGGGCTTCAAGAACCCCCCAGCTAAGGAACATGGGCTGCATAACTGCTTCTCTGCATAGCTGGAAAGCTGTCTGAACTAGAGACAACAGGCTGCAGCAGAGTGTATGTTCGTGCACATACAGGATGAGGCAAAGTCCTAGTGATGAGTGAGAGAATACATAAAATACTTAGACTCTCATTTATTATTAATAATATTTATTTATTTATTTTCACTGCTCTGGATCAAACCCAGTGTTCAGTCCCAAGCACTTGAAATTAAAACAAAAAATCAAGGAAATAAGACAGTGACACCATACCATTCTTCCCTGAAGGTGCCCCGTGGCTTCACCTGGGTGACATGTCTCTCCACCAGAGGCTATGGGTGTTTTTGGTTTGTTTTTTGAGAAAGGATTTCTCTGTGTTGCCCTGGCTGGCCTGAAACTAACTCTGTAGACCAGGCTGGTCTTGAATTCACAGAGATTCACCTGCCTCTGGCTCTTGAGTGGTGGGATTTAAAGGCATGGAGCACCATGGCCCCGCTGAGGCCATCCTCATAAGACTTAACGCTTCTTACCTGACATTGGTCATTCCCAGCTCCTTCAACGCAGCGACTCTTGTCTTTGGGGCATGTGCTGGTGACGGCGGCACTGAGAGAAGTGGAGGAAGACTGGACTGAGGGAGGGGACTGTGCTGGAAGCTGTGGTTTTTATTTTTTTATCTTTTGTCCCCATGACAAAGTTACTGTGATGGTTCCCATTCTATCATCTGTCTGCACGGAAGACCCCTGAAGCGTTTATCTAATTACTCTTTATCAATTAAAAAATTGGGAGTCAGGTATTGGGGTGAGAACCTGAATGATCAGAGAAGCGGAGGAGCCACCAGTGACCCCCCCAAAAGGCAGAGATCCTCTCTCTGTTCCACCTTACCACTTCCTGTCTTCTATTTGTCCTGTCCTCCAAAACCTCTATGGTTAATTGTGGTCAGCTAGAGGCTAGCTCCGCCCTCTGACTCCAAGCCAGCTTTATTGTCAGAATACGATCAACATATCCCACAACAGGCCTCTGCCCTGCTGCCTCACTCAATTCACCGTGTATCCTCAGTCCACTTGAGTCTATCCCCCCGGGCTTGACATGGCCCCTCAGTCCTACCAAACAGCTCTAAACTTTGCGCTGCCTCTCATTCCAGAGCCTTCATGCCATGGACCCGGAATACATTTCTATGCTAACCCATGTGACACCTGATGCTGTCAGTTGGCCGACACCCTGTGTAACTCCGAAGCACAGCCCCTCTGGTCACCTCTCATTTTCTACTCTCTTCCCTGAAGCCAGCCTTAGCCAGCCTTCCAGGAGCCCGGGAGCCACCCCTGAAGGATCTGGCTCCATCTCTGGTATCTCCTTTCTCTTGATCTTTACCAACATTGTGCTCAGTGTAGTCTCCTCCCCCTCCTCCTCTCCCTCCCCCCCCCCCTCCTCCTCCTCTTCTTCCTCCGTGCCTCTGTGTGAGGCCCTGGATGCAATGCTCTAACTGCAGGTGAGGAGCCTCTGAGGAGAAAGCAGCAGGTCCAGGAAGGCCAAGTTCATCTCGGCCTCAGTCCAACCTCCATGGGCTTCTGAGTGACGCCCACAGTGAACCAGGTGGCCAACTTTCCTCCAACTTGCTAGAAATCTGCAGCCTACCAAGGCTGTGGCCTATGACCTAAGACGCGGGGACCATGAAAACCATTTAAAAGTCCGGTGGATGTAGTGACACATGCCTGCAGGCTCAGCCCTCAGAAGGCTGAGGTGAGAGAATTCCAATATGCAAGTTAGCCTGGGCCATACAGTGAGACTGTCCAAAAGAAAACAATTGATAACTCCACATGATTAAACATGTACCGACATTACCAACAATCCGGTGGCTTAAAACAACACTTTTTGTTAGTTCTCCATCCTATGAAGTCCAAAATCTGAAACAGTATGGCTTGGCCCTCTCCTCTCTTCCATAAAACTGGCCAGAGTATTTGTCCGGAGGCGTTGGGGAGGAAACCCTGTTTTAGTTCTTGTTGGTAGGCTCCAGGTCCCTGCCTTCCCAGGTTGGAGGTCCCCAGTACTATCAGGCCAGTCCCATCAGAACTCTTTCTTATAGTTAGGGTTGGTCAGCTGTCCTGTAAAACACAAAGCATCACACCTGCAGGTCAGTCTACAGGGCAGATATGGGTTCATCTTTGAATTCTGCCCGCCGTATCAATTTATAGATCAACTGCAGGCATTGTGGGAGAGTAGTAAACAAACCAGTCCACTTAGGGATTCTTGTACAATTGGGAGGGGCCTAGAACTCCTGAAGGAGATTTGCCAGTAAGGGGAGGTAGGCAAATGAGGAAGAAGATTTGGGGAATGGGTGGAGAAGCTGGGCAATCTAAAGGAACCAAAGATGGGTGTGGGCAGCAGACTCACTCGTGAGGAAGGTACCTGTAACCCTTGGCTGTGCTGTGCTTCTGACCCACAGTGTGTTGGAGAAATGTGGCAAGGCCAATACCTAAGGGCAGAGGGATCCACCTGTATGTGGACATGCTGGGGTGAATGTAAAGACTGCTGGGAGGAAAACACAAGGCTGCACAGCCCTCAGGAAGGTCGAGACAGCTGTGCAGGGAGACTGAGGCAGGCTAAGGTTTTGGCTGTTGAGCAGATGGGGTTAAGACCCACAGGAACAGCAGCTTACAAAGAGTTGCCATGGATAAAGCAGGGTCTATTTACCCCTAGAGCACAGGGTCCAGCACAAAGCTCAATGTTGACCCAGGGGACATCAAGTTTGCATTTTGAGCCTAGAATACTTAGAACTGGCCATATGACTGCCAGCACCTGAGAGAATAGAATACATAAGCTACTCTCCTTTACTATTAATAATTATTTTTATTTGTTTTTCAGTACTTTTATCAAACCTAGTGTTTAGTTCTGAGTACTTCAGATTAAAACAAAAGAAAACAACAAAACAAGCAAATACACGGTGACTCTATGCCACCCTCTCCTGGTTTACACATCAGAGACCCCAGCAGCCCTGGACTGCTCTGTCTAGTCAGCGCACAGAAAGCCCACTTTAGGCGCAGTAACCCGCCTTTCTCCCTCTGCACTGTGGCTTCTGCTCAGTGGGTGAGGGCTGGTGCTGGGGAGCGAAGCCCAACTGAGCACAGCCTGTTAAGCCCGATCCTGGATGTCAGGTTTGTCCAAAGACTTCTTCCCAAGATGGGTTCTGAGCCTGAGGAGATTCATCCAACACTGGGTGGGATTCAAAGAGCAATTCCAGCTCAGAGGACTCCCCAAGCTATAGGGTCTCTGGCTTGATTACTTCCTAGAGAAATTTTGTGAGGTTTTCCAGGTAAAGACTCTGTCATAGTCACATTTAAATCACCATTTGTTTTCAGACTTTGTTGATTCTTTTGTGAGGCAAAGTCCAAATGTCCACCGTAAAAACAAAACAAACCCCCCCCACACAACTGTTAAACAACAGTAAAGCATGAAACTTCATCCCACAGTTCCACACACCTCTGCTGGGTGGCCACCATGGCATTAATATGCTCCCTACACTGGGCCAGGATAGAGTCTCAAAACTATCAAGACTGACTCACATGGCTTAGAAGTTCTGAGTGCTTGACAAAGTGCGTAGAAAGAACCAGGCTGCCTTTCAAGGACCTGGAGGAGCTGGCAATGGTTTGAATCTAGTAAAAAAACCCAAAGGGAAGGATTTGCTGACAGCTTCCACTTCCAGCAAACACTGGGATAAACCCTTTCGAGGTGTGATGGAGCCGGGATTGCCTGACTATGAACCAGGCCTCAGAGAGCAGTCCAAACAGATCTGCAGACTTTGCTTTAACGTCACGGAATACACTGTCAGGGTTCTTTCCATCCTGAGAAGGCAGGCCTTTCTGTGCCATAGCACATCTTATGGTCTGAGGTGCTCCATGTCTGACAAGTGAGCAGCCCTGGGGCACTATATCTTCTCTGTGTGGACTTTCAGAGAGCCCAGCCAGGTGTTGAGACAGTGGGTAGAGCCTGCCACAAGGACTTCTCTGTAGGATCCTACCCTTCCCAGCTTTCAGAATGACGATACAGCACATATGGCTGTGTTGGGAAAAATAATTGGCCAAGGACAGGTGCTGTGGAACAGTCCTCTTGTACACTGCAAAGATCTGTCATTCGAAATTGGTTTAATAAAATGCTGATTGGCCAGTAGCTGGGCAGGAAGTATAGGTGGGGTGACCAAACTAAAGATGATGGGAAAGAGAAGGGCAGAGTCAGGTGAGATGCCAGCCAGCCACCGAACAAGCAGTGTAAAAAATGAAGTAGCAAGTCATGAGCCACATGGCAAAACATAAATAGAAATATGGGTTAATTTAAGTGTAAGAGTTAGCTAGTAACAAGCCTGAGCTATTGGTTGAGAATTTATAATAAATATAAGCCTCTGTATGGCTTTTTGGGAAGAAGCTGCTGGGTATTTGGGAACAGGCAGTTAACAAACCTTTAAACCTATGATCACTCTGCAGGCCTTGGTTCTTCCCTTGATCTAGAGCTCAGAGTCTCCTTCAACGTCCCCAGGAATCTCCTAGCTCATTTTAGAGATGGCTACCTTTTGGTTCTGCACTCAGCCTACAAGTTCCTTCAACATCTTCCTAGAACTGAGCAGTGTCCTGCTATACCTTCAGCCCTAGGTGGCTTTGACAGTCAGCTGTCCATCACAGTAACGTATGCTGGAAGTAACTGACTTATGATGAGAAAGGTTTATTTTGGTTCACAGTTTTCAAGTTTTAGTCTATAACCCATTGACCCTGCTGTTTTCGTGGCAAGAAAGCATACCATATTAGGGAACACATGACAGCCTTTCACTCACAGCAGGGAATGCAGAGACAGCAGAACCTCCCAGCATCCCTTTCCAAGACGTGCTCCCAATGATCTGAAGACCTCCCACATGGCCCCACTTCTCAGATGCCTACCTCAGACACTACCACCCGATACCACAACCTGGGGACCAATCCTTCAGCATCCCGGGCCTAAACTGTCACAGTGGCCTGTCCACAGTAATTCTCAGCACCCTGTCTTTCTCCTGAACACACTACCTTTAACACTAGCACTCCATTGTACCCCTGCTCCGTGAATATGCAATCAGCCTCCAAAACAAAGGCGCAGTGCAGCTTGAGGCTCTGTCTTGCTGACTTCTTGAGTACTGGTTTAGAGAGGAGAAAATTTCCACTAATTCTTACCACCGAGGAGCCGCGTGGCTTTGGCAAGTCACTGTACTGCTTGGCTGTGTCCCTTCATCTGTGTTCCGAGGCAACAGAGTCCATATTCTATGGGGCCCATGGCTCCAACATCCCATCAGTTCTGATCTTGCCATGCTGCACCCCAGGAGAGCCTCAGGTATGTAGCCAGTGGATGTCTGTTTGGTAACTGTGCTGCAGACTAGGGGCATGCTGTCCAGGAGAGGCAGCCTCTGTTCTCAAGGCTTTGTAGTCTATTAGAAAAAAAGATGCCAAACTTCACAAATGAAACACATACAGCGCTTATTAGGCAATGTGAGCACTGCGTAACAAGTGAAGGCGAGCAGAGGGCCCCTCGTCTGTTTCCTGGCTCTCGGGGAGCACTGCTCTTTACTGCCTGAGGTCTAGTGTTGTGAAAACAAGTATCTGGTGTGTTCGGTCGGCTTTTCTTGGGGAGACTGATGCAGGAAGGAAGACAAATTTGGTCTATTACCCCACACTGGTCAGAAGAAGAAGTCCCACCAAACACTTTTGGTCATACAATCTCATTTAAAAAATTGAGCCAGCATTGGCATCACATGGCTACTTACTTAGAAGCTGTATGCATGTATAACTGTGGCTGTGTACAGTAAATAGTAGTCATATTTATTGCTATTCCTACTATACTACTACTACTAAAGCTCAATTTCTTATTTTTTCAGATTAAAATATAGATATAAATGGAGGTTAAAATATTTTTTCTTGCATTTCAGTGTGTATTCATAGGTCCAGGACAAAGCCCTTAAAAAAATTCAGCTCTGAAAAACTTTCAAAACCAGTTAAAAGGAACCTAAGATAAATACTTGGTCCAGGCAACATTACACATTTCGTTCTGACATAAGACAGCTTGAAGTAGTATACTGGTGTACTTTGATAAATACCAATAAAAGCTATGGTTTTATGGAGATAGTTCTTTAAGAGCTGTGTTAAAAAAAAAAAAAAAAACCTGCATGCCTACACAGCAAGATTCCCACTATCTTTTCCTTTTTCTCCAGGTCTTATTTACATGTACACAGAGTCCATAAGCATCACTTACTTTCTCAGCACCAGGACTGGGACAACTGCAAGAGATCTGTAGATCTGCAGCCTGCTGGTTTGTGGCTGCTCTCTCAGGTGTCATGGGAGGGGACACTCACGGCAGGTGTCTTTGTTTCCTTAGGCTGCTGTCACAGAATACCAGACCGGGTACTTGATAACAAATGATATGTCTCAGCTCATGGGTCTCAGGCCTGGCAAGTTCGAGACTGAGTGGGTAGCAGCTGCTGAGGCCTTTGTGTCCAACGTCCTATAGCAGAACAAAGAGAGTCAAGGTGGCTGAACACTCCCTTTTCTGAGACTCCACTCTGCTCTCACAGCCCAGTCACCTTTAATCAGCCCCCCCCCCCCCCCAGCACTGGTCCATAGAAAATGAAGCTTCCCAACACGGTGGAACCATGGCAGGTGGGCTTTAATTACTTGACCTGAACAAAAAGGAGGAGGATGCTGGATTAGGAGCAGTTCCTTTCTGGGACTTGGAAAGATGCCAGGAGACCCGGCTCACTTTTTTCCCTCAGCCAACCTCTTGATCCTGGCTCTGATGGCTCCTGCAAGCAGGCCAGGACAGAAGATGCCTGCAGAGGCCTATAGGCAGCCAGGGCAATAATCACTTTCACTGTGTTGGTTGGGTGCTGCCTAGCAGGCACGCCAGGCTGCTGCCAAAGGTCAAGGGAGCAAACCAGCAGGAAATGAAGTGCTTGGCAGAAACCCACCCTCTAAGACAGGGAGAGGCTTTATTTCCATCCTTGGCCACGGTCGCAAAAGGACACTGCCACTCGAGTCACCAAATCTGGTTTGCATGTAAGATACACAAAACATTCCTTACATTGTGAAACCGGGTTTAAGAAGGTCTGTTCTCAGCAGCCTTGGCACGCCTCCCCTCCCCCACTCTAACATCCAGGTTGCTGTAGCTGCTGTGGGTGACAGCTGACCTTTGAAAGGGAGGTAGCATGCGTCGCAGACATCCCAGACCTAACTTCAGCTTGGACTGTTTAGCAAACCTTTATATAAGAACAGATTGCACAAGCCTGCATGCGTGGGGTTGAGGGGGAAACGGGAAGAGTGCTCCTTGCACATGCGTGGGCTTGAGGAGGAGGAAACGGGAAGCGTGTTCCTTGCGTGTGACCAGGACCCTGTTATTCATTTGACTTGGATTTCAGCTGAGTTTTGTAGATTATAAAGACAGGTCCGTATGTCAGCACAGGCAGAGGTTGCTCTCAGTTGTCCAAGCAGCCCCATATCTCCCTGCAGTCCATGTCATTCAGATCCTCAGCCCCAATTCCAGAGGAAGCTGACCTGAGGGATGTCTGGGGTCATGCCCACTTCACACTGCCCAACTGTCCTACCAGGCACTGGGGGTGACTTCTGTGGCCTCCATCTTCTGCTCTAGCCTCGCCCCCTCCCTGCAGTGGGCAGGAAGCAGGACTCAGAAGCTGGGCCTTAGCAGCTGGTAGTGGTGGAGCATCCGTTCCGCCCCAGTAGCTCAGGGAAGGAATGCTGGTCACATGGAATCCAGAGATGGCTGTGTAATGTGGGAGACGACGAGTTCCATGTTCCCACACTGTAAGTCATGATGACACAGTTAAAAAGGACTGGTGGGCGGGGGAAAGTGAAAGAAAAAGAGCGAGAGGGAACAGAAACCGACCTGATGCACACAGAGGACCAAGCAAGAGTAAGAGGGAAGGCATGAAGCCGGGCGGGGGAGGGCGGCCTGGAAGTGAATCAGGGAAAGGGGAGAGCAGGCGAGAGAGACTAGGTAGGAGGAAGAAAACAGACCAAAAGGAACACAATGAAGTAGATGTAGAGGCATCTTCTGCTGGAGAAAATGCCCTACTCCAGCAGAAGGTGGAGGCCAGGTTCATTCCTCAACACATCACCTTCAGACTCTGGCTCCAGGGTCGGAAGTCCCTCACCTTAAAGTCTGTCCCTGCTTACTGAAGGCCTAACTAAATTCAGAGAGGTAACAGAGGGAAAGAGTAGAGAGCCACATGCTTGGAAGAGCTCTCTCAGGAGTCCCCTAACAACAGACTGTCTTTGGTCTCAAGAAATTTGCAATTTTGGGGGGATAAAGGTCCATACAGAGAGAGCACTGAACAGCCATGCTGTTATTTGGACTCCTCAGACGGTGAACACAGTAAGAAAATATCGACGGAAGATGAAATAAGAGGAAAAAATTAAATGGAAAATGGCTTTCTTGACAATATTAAGGAATTATCTTAAATGAGGGGATTGAGGTAAAAAATTTAGTCTAATAGAAACATTGACAACTGGACAAGAAGGTCCAGGACGAAGGCCTGACAACAGCAAAGTCAAAATGGAGACCCAGTGTCCTGGTGAGCGGGCTCAACGTATTAATATGATAGGATATATGAGTTATGCTTATCATTAAAAAGCAACGAACACTGGTTAAAAGACAGTTCTGGAAGAGACCAGCTGTTACCATGGAAGCAAGGCTTACCCTCCTCTGTCACTTGAGATCAAAAGTCAAGGTCATAGGAATGTGATGTTGATGGAGGGTAGGCAGGTATTGAGAGAGGCTGGCTGTGTGTGTGGGGGTGAGATGAAGATATTCAACTTGCAATTGACAAAAACATGAAGTGAGGACAATTACAACTAATATTTATTGGTTAGTTTTGTTTTTCAAGACAGGGTCTCGCTCATCCCAGGCTGGCCTCATCCTATGTAGCCAAGGATGACCCTGAACTTCTGATCCTTCCATTTCCCAAAATGGGATTAGGTATGGGTCACAACACCTTGTGTTATGTGGTGCTGGGTAAGGAACCTAGGGCTTTATGAATGCCAGGCAAGCACAACTAACTGAGTTACATCCCTAGCCCAGGACAACTGACATTTTGGGAGGGCACACTCTGTGCCAGGTGCTTTCTCAAGCATGCTGTGCGCATGTTCATATAAGCTGTTCTATCGCCCTATTAGGATTTCCTATTAGGTGCATTTTATACACAAGGGAACCTGAGCACAGATAGAGCGATTAGATTACATGGAGATAGATTAGGGTTCTACGTTCTGTAATTCTTAAATCTGAAGACATGGAAGAATCGATGTTTATGGAGGGGTGTGTGTGTGTGTGTGTGTGTGTTTAAAGAGGTGTCTGGGTGTGTTTAAGGAGGATCTTATGTAGCGAAGGCTGGCCTCAAACTCAGGATGACCTTGAACTTCTGATCCTCCCGAGTGCTAAGATGACAGACTTGTGTCACCATGCCTGGTTTATGCAGTGCTGGGACTAACCCTGGGCCTAGTACGTGCAGGGTAAGCACTTTGCTAATTTAGCTACAGTCTTAGCCCATTTCTGTTTCTTTCTTTGTAAACATTCACTTTTAAACCTGATCATAGAAACACTGCCAGCGGGAGGAGACTATGATTTATGGTGAGAACTTTCGCATTGTTATTAAGATGAGGCTTTCCCTAGGGAATTAAACACCTTCTCTTGTCGTAGTTCAGCACTCTGAGGCCATCAAACGAAGAGTCCTCCTGGGTGCTCCAAAAGGACAATATCCATCTCTCTCTGATACTCCCAAACTGTGAAGGGCTTGGGGGATGGCAAGACTCTTTTCCTCTTTTTTTTTTTTTTTAAAAAAAAGGTGCCCCCAGTCCTGGAAAGAGCAGCCAGTTCTCAAGGGAGCCTCTCCGACAAGAACTGAGGCTGAGAGGAGCAAGCCATGGCAGAGACGGCTGAGTCTGGGAGGCAGCAGATGGAGAGACAGATAGCAAACACATCTGTTTTCACACAAGCCTGTTGTTCTCTGTACTAACTGCTATAAAAACAACATGAAACCAGCCACACTTCAGTTTTGGTTCTAGTGACTAAATCAAGGAATGGCATGATGGTGCTGTGTCATTAGAAATGAAACTGGTTCTTGAACAAGAGAACAGGGTCACCATCTTAATAACCCGGACGGCTTCATAGACAAATCAAAGCTGAAACTCTACCACCCCAGCCCTGAACACCTGCTGCCTAAGGTTGGTTCTGAACCAGTGAGCCCTCTTTCTTGCAGCGAAGACACCAGATGGGTCCTGACTTGCCTGACAAAACTGCCAGGGCTAGATTCTTTATGCTCGCTGTGCTGTTGGGTGGAAATGGGCCTCACTGCTGGCTTCAACAGCTGCAGGGACACTCTAAAAACAAACAAAAGTACTTCATATTGGGTTTTTATTTTCAAACATATAAACTTATGTACCTTCACCCTCCATATGTAGTTTTGTTCATTTGTTTCTAGACAGGATTGCACACTATAGCTCTGGCTGATCTGGAACTCCCTATATACACCAGGTGGCCTGGAAACTGAAGAGATCTGCCTGCTTCTGCCACACAAGTGTGGGACAAACATATATTTTGATATATGAATTGATCTTCACTGAGGGGTTGCCATTTACACTTTATTTTTGTTTGGTTTTTCAGATAAGTACTCAAACTCTGTAGCCCAGGCTGGCCTGGAACTCATGGCAATCCTCTTGCCTCAACCTCCCAAGGCGTTATAGGCATGGGCCGCATTTTTTCAGATGAAGAAATTGGAGATTGAAGAGATAACTTAGCTAAAAGCAGGCAGAGCTGGGGTTCTGAACAGATTTTATCTATAACCAGGAGTGGCAGCCCGTAGCATGTGGGAGAGAGAAGAAGACCATAAGATCAGGCAAGTGTGGTCTGCACAGAGAGACCTTGCCTGCCCTCTTCTCTCAAAGAAGGAAAGACTTCTCATCAATGTCCATATTGCCCCAATCTAACTTGGCCTGTACCACCATAATGAAGGTACAGTAAGCATTCACAGGTTGCCTCCTCGACACCCACTTCTCCCTCAGTTGCCAAAGAAGCTCCTCTTTACTTTCTTTCTTGGGGACCTCCACTGGTGATGCCCCTCAAAGTATGTATGCATCAGGACAGGTGATTGGCTCAGTCCTGTCCAATGAGGTTTGAGAAAACATTTGCTAGCCCTTCTGAGAAAAAGCATCCTCAGGTTCTCAGCTGTATTACTAGAGGAGGCAATCTCTTTTCTTGATGGCCTAGCAGAGACCTCAAAGTCCACATTCCCTAAACTATTTGTGCCCCCAAAATGCCAGCCTGTGAGCCAAGCTAGCGCACAGAAGAGGCAGTGCTCATGAACGAAACAGGTGGGTCTAGGGGCCCACGCACTAGACGAGTTTTCAGAGTATAAATAAAAGCAATCCCTTAGTTTGCTTAGGCAGTTTGAGTTTCTGTCACACAAAAACTGACAACTAATGAAAACACTGCCTGAAACCCAGTAACATCTGCTGCTGCTGGCGTCTCAGTCAGCCTGAAAGCAGCCCTTCAAAACCCATCATTAGTTTGGGGGCACATGCACCCCAACCCACTTCAGACTCCCAGAGAGCCCTGTCTTTCTATTCCTGAGATCTGGCTTCTTCAGTTCTCTGTCCCCTCTCAGCTCAGCTCAGACAAAGGCAATGGTCTTGAGTCCTATCACAGTGACAAGTAACTGTCCTCTGCAAAGGACACCAGCAGGGCCGTGGAGGCCAGCTGCAGGTGTTGGGTACACAGTGACAAGCCCAGTGTCAAGGAAGGATCCTGCCACAGTCATTTCTTCATTAACGTGGAGTCAGGCAGAAGGTTCTGTGGAACAAAGATGATTTCCTTATCAGGTTCCCGACAGAGCCTCGAGCCCCAAGGAGCTTAGGACTCTTATTTGTGGGTGGAGGATTCTGCCGGAAGTTCAGACATTTGACATCATAGTTTATAAGTCATGTAGGCTTGAAAAATCTGTGAAGAGAACTGGTTTTTGAGATTTTACTCAACCTCAGTTTCTCTTGAAAATTCTGTTATTTCCACTTCTGGGCAATATGACTGACGAAGCACAGTTAAAAGAACCCACCCTCAGCTCTGCAGCAAGGAAGCCTGAGTGTGATGAGTTACACGTGTGAAGGGAGGGCTGCTTCTCTCAACCCGCCACACAGTTGCCTGTGTAGACTTGCTGTTTTCCAGTATGACTTGAGTTCTCTCCCTTTTTACTAGAGCTGTGTAATCTATTCACATGACAAGTATTGGGGCTAGACATTTAGCTCAGTAGTCAGAGCCTGGGCAGCACACAGGCTGGTCATGCCCCAGGCATGTTCCAGACGCTTGGAGAACATGAATACGCCCTGATGACTCCTCACATGACCAGAAGCCACTTATGCTGCCCCTCTCTTTCTCCTTCCCTTTTCAACAATACCTGAAAAGATCGAGGACATCCATACTTCCCTATGCAAAACCCGCTAACTGGGGCTGGTGCGAGGACTCAGCGGGTGAAGGTTCCCGCCATCAAGTCCAGTGAAGAATTTAGTCCCTTGGACCTACACGGTGAATCAACCGGCAACCCCCCCCCACCCCCACACACATGTAATTAGAAGAGAAATAAAAACCTTCCTTTAAAAATGACTGGATGTGATGGCACACGCCTTTAATCCCAGCCCTCAGGACACAGAGACTGGTGGATCTCTGTGAGTTCCAGGACAGCTGGGGCTGACTACAAAACAGAAATACCCCATCTGGAGACAGCAGTAACAACCAAAACCAAACCACCAATGACAAAGACAGTCCAATGACTTTCCTATTTCTCACCTTCAGTACTGTACTGACCTCCTGCGTCCTTGTGGCCACTGCCTCCCTCCGTCTTTGACTTCTCCTATCCATGTTCCTTAGAAGCATATGGGCATTTTTTCAGATCCTCCAGCTGTTAAAACGTTTTCTCTCTTCAGAACATCCTATTTACTCTGATTGCTGCCTGAACAGTAGCTGTCAAACTTCTTTTTGACCATAATCTCCATTCAAAGACAAAACAAAATAACAATGAACTTTATCATCTTTAACTATAACACATAGTTATAGTTACATAGAGAGAACAGACTTTTTATAAGATAATACTTTGAGTATTTTTTCCTTTTGAATTTTTATTTAAATTTAAATAGTGGTACAAATACAAAAGGGAATACAATTTGTCTGTAAAGCAAAAATGAAACTTGCAGGAAAGTGGATGG